AAACGCCCCCCCCCCCCCCCCCCCAAAGCCATAAACCTAGGGGAAACACTGGACATAATATATTTATTTTATTAATATTTATTTATAGTGCCGTTTTCATAAATCCTGCAGACAAATAAATAAATAAACAAACAAACAAATAAATAAATAAATATTTTATATGAAATAATATATATTCAAAAATTTATACTTTGTATCTCCTAGAAGGAAACAAATTGCTGCAATAATGTAAAACTTGAGAAAACACAAGATGTTTCCTTATACCTAAATATCAACATTAAAATACAAAAACGTAAATAACTTAGATTTTAAACAATATAATATACTTATTTTATTAATATTTATTTCTAATGTAGTTTTCTGTACATTGCAGGTTAGTTTTATAAATCCTGTTGCAGAACAATAAATAAATAAATATGAAATAACATTTTTTTTAATGGATTAATTTTATGGATGTCCTAGGGAAAAAATGCTGGATTAGTGGAATTCATGAACAAACAAATTTTATTAGATGAAAAAAGAGTGACAAACTGCATAAGATACTTTCTTTTATCTAAACAGGTTCATGAAATTCAGAGAAAATATTTCTCTTTGTCCTCCTGAGTCTCAAGTCAATTGTTTTTTGCAACGTAAGCATGCATTGAGCAGGCAATTTATAAAAATGACAATATCTCCTCAGAAAAGAACTTACACAAACTCTGACCTGTGCAAATCTCACCACAACATGCTAGGGTGTTGTGCGCAATAAGCAATAGCAATCCCGACACCACTTCCACTATATTTATTCAGAAATTGGAAACCTTTTGGATTTTTTTTATCATCATTTGGAATCAATCTAGAAGGACTGTGAATTTTCTAAGAGCATTCCAATATAACAAAAGTACATTATTCAACTACAACAAGCAAGGCTCTGATAAAGATCATTCACTAGAAAAATCCTGTAGTAATTTCAGTTTATCCAGTTGCATCTTATTTAATTCTAAGAGGATTTATCTGATCCCATCAGGACTGATTCCAAATGATGTCGGAATTCCAATCGGAATGTTTACACATTCATTAGAATCTTAACCATAGATTAGAGCCTCAGTGGAGTTACTCAATCACCTCTTGTGAGGTTTGAACCTACATTCTTTCAGTTGCCATCCCAGATCTCTAACCAACTCTCTCTCTCTTTCATCTTTCAGTTGGCTTTTTTTAACCGTCTTTGCCTGCCTCTGAAGTTGGAGTGAACTCTGTGTTAGCACTGTGATTTTATGCTCCTTTGAGGTTTCGGGGCTGTGCAATCTGCCTCGTGGAGGGAGTCCGAGCCTCCGCCGGCTGGATCGCATTTTGATCATTAAGATCAGAATTAGCCGTCTGACTTTCACACTTCAACCGTGTTAAGCCGTTTAGAAAGGCAGAAACACTGGGATGTGCCACGACTACTGATGCTCCCCAAAACCGGCTATTTCCGCATCCATTAAGAGCCACTTTCACGCCTTAATTTGCACAAATCAAACAAAATAGGGAACGGCGGCGCTTATTAGACTTGTGTTCTTCATCCACCACGTGCTGGCCTTTCATCTGACCACTGCAAGTCCAATCAGAAGCACATTCTGCGCTCACGTTTCAATCCAAGACAGCGGATTAACCGGTTTGAGGTCCTCCTCGGGTAATTAACCCAATTCTACCCGTCTGTATCTCCCTGTAGCTTATCAAGAATTGTGCTAAAATTAAAACTGATTCTATTGGCACCTTTACTGCCATCAAATAAACTACAGACTAGACATTTATCCTGATGGATAAAATAATTACACCCTGAGAGTACAGATCTGATAGGATCAGCATGATGGGCACACTGGCTGGAAGACTTCCTCTGCCGTGGAACTGAAGAACAATAAATAAATCTTCAAGTATGAGCAATGTGCTGTTGATTACTAATGTCATCTTGACCTGAAAGTACTGGCAGTGCTCACTTGAAAGATTAATGAAATGTCTACTTCCTGTGTTATGTCGCCCCCTAGAGGTGGCGCTTCATATCACTGGCCTTGAAACCTAAACAACTGAATCATAAAGGCCTAAATGAATTGATATTTTAAAAGTATGTTACATATTTACTTATTAAAAAAATAAAACAAAGTCAGCACCGACAGCCTTGTGGGCAGCGTGCCGACATACAGCGCCGCTGCGCTTTGGGCGTCCCGGGTTCGAATCCCGACTCGAGGACCTTCGCTTCCTGTCATGTCTGAACTGTCCTATATCGCAAAAATGCCCCAAAAAAATACTACTTTAATACCTATCTTTGAACTTTAAAAACCCATTTACTTACTATCATTGTGTAGTCTAGTAAAAAATGTAATAAAATACAAAAAAATAAGCTTATTCAAAATATATTATAAAAATATATAATAAAATATAATATAATATATATAATAATATAATAAAAATAACAATAAGAATATGAAATAAAATTAAAAAACAATAATAATATAAAATGCCATTCACCATTGCTATTCAGCTAGCAAGAAGACCATTTTTAGGCTTTTAAAACCAATTTACTTACCTTATCATTGTGTAGTCAGACAGAATGACTTTCTTTCAGAAGCGGACTGTAATAAATCACTTACACTTTATCTGTGTACTGGAAGTGGCTGTGGCAGAGAGGTTGGGCTGGTCGGGTAACCATGGCACAGTTGAGATTGTACCCCTGGAGTCCAGAGAACCCTAGAGAGAACAGGCTGTGCTCTTATTTGTGCATATTGCTGCTCCTAACCTCACCCGTGCTTGTATCTCAGACACATATCAGCTCAGGACAAGGGCACTCTGTTTAAGAGAGCTGTTTTATAGACCTGAAACACACAAAAAGCAGAGATTCAGTGATAGTGGGTAAGTAAATGTTTTCTTTTGCTTCTTTTCAGCATTCAGACACCAACCAGACTCACAGCATTAAAGTATTTGATAGATTTACAGTCTTTAAAGTCAAATTGCCTCAGGAAAGTGAAGTCAGTTGTGAGGTTTGACATCTTGTCATGTAATGCAGTGACATTCGGACCCTTTTAAGCACGAAATTCCTTTTAATGCCTAATATATGCTTGTGTGTATTTGAACAATCACTCATTTGTGTCTCATTATCTTCTCTGTAGGAGCTTCCCACATCATGGATGGATGGAAAACCACAGGGAAGACCATCATGCCACAGCTGGTGGTGAAGATTGTTGGTGGGAAACAAATTAAGTATTTTACTGATGGGACAAAAAGGTACAAAACAAAGAATAATTAAAATTAAAATTAAATGTAAAATGATAAACAAATTAAATGTATTAAAAAATATCTAAATATATTTTATTTATATTTTTAAATGATGTATAATTTATTTTTTTATTTTTTTTATTGTTAGAGTGATAATTAACATATTGGCAGATTATTTAATAATAATAAACATTTATTATAATTAAATTTGCAGCTCAGGAAAAAATATAAATATTGCTAAAAATATTTTAATTGTTATTTATTTATTTATTATTGTCCACAGCACAAATGGTGCAGGATAAAATAAAAATATATAAATAAAGTAAAATAAAATGCCATTTAACATTGCTATTATATTTACCATTATACGTTTAATATTAACAATAGTAAAAATATACAAATACATTTAATATTACATATAGTCCTACAGATCATCTTAAGGTAACAAACTGCTCGGAGCACAGACACAGTCCACCTAACAGAGTCACAGATGGAGATTCAAGCAGAAAATCACCTTCTCATGACCTGGAGCCTCTGAGACCAGTTGAGCACACAGAAAACCTGTTAGATGCCCTCAGACAGGTAATAAAAAATCAACTACATCAAAAACTACACTGACTGTTAAACGTAACATCCAACTCACAAACTCAGTCATTTTGCAAGACTTAACCATTGTTTACCACTGTGTGATTGTCACTGACCAGTTTTCAGATGACTTTAGAGGTCAAATGGTTGCACTGTCCATGGTACTGAAACCTGGTACTTACCAATCAAAATAACAGCGCTGTTCAGGGTTCTGAAATCCACTTCCCATTGTTTACTAGAAGGAAAAAATGTGCTATATAATCTGAAGCTCGTGCAGAAGATAGCTGGATGCTAATGGTTTGGTAATGATCCAGGTTCCTGACAGACGGTGTGTGACGGCACCATGTGGAGATCGATCACGATCCTACATACATCTGAAGTCCACAACCAACATGAGTTACACAAAACAACTCGTGCAAAATCCTCATATTACAGAGGCACAGGTAAGACATAATGTGCATGCTGTCTTTAATCAAATCGAACAAATACAACAGTTTGAGGTCAGAAATTGTTCATGTTTTTAAAAGAAGTATCTTACGCTCATCAAGGCTGCATGTATTTGCTTAAATATACAGTAAAAACTGTAATATTGTGAAATATTCCTACAATTTAAATAAATGTTTTCTATGAATATGTTTTAAAAATGTAATTTATTCCTGTGCTGCAAAGCTGAATTTTCAGCATCATTACTTCAGTCTTCAGTGTCACATGATCCTTAAGAAACATTTCTTATTATTGTCAATGTTGAAAACAGTTGTGCTGCTTCATATTTTTGAGGAAACCGTGATACCTTTTATAGAATTATTTGATGAATAGAAATAATAAATATTCTATAAAATAAATTATTATTAATTTGACATTATAAATGTATTTTTTACTGGAATAAAATTATTAATTTCTTTTAAAAAAAATCTTACTGACCACAAACTTTTGATAGTGTATGCTAAATTAAAAATAAAATCTCTAAAACCAAATCTTACTCAACATGTCCAGACAGATGAGCCAATTAAATTCAGTCCAGAGTTCTGCCTCCTCTCATCCGTCTCAGAGGAACTGCAGGATCTGAAACCACAAACATTCCAGATCATCGAGGAGGAAGTGACATCACTCGATCCGTCCCGATCAGGAACCATCCATCAGTCAGAACTCACATGTCTCTTCCTCAGACTGCAGCTCCCTCTGAAGCTCACTACACTGGCCTGTATGTTCCAATCCTTCAGTAACACCACCGACCCGGAGCAGGTACTGGAGATCACTTATCAAGCAGAACCTCTGGGAATTACAGCAAATAATATTATTTGAGTCATTATTCAATTTTGGTTGCATATGCATTCAGCAAAAATGAAACCCATTGATTAAATCAGAAATCTAAATTGAACGCTGAATTAATTGTTCTCATTTCATATACAAGTTTCATATTACACTGCACACCACTGGCTGTTTTCATTATTAACCTGTTTGTTTGTTTGTCTTGGTGACATTAGTTTTATGACAATTAAAGCATATTGGTACTGAAAATAGATTTAAATGTATTTCTGCAAAATCATTTTTTTCTTTTCTCTTTAGATTGAGATGAAAAGTAAAAATGTTGTAAAAAATATTTTGTAAAATGTATTTATTATAAATTATTATTTATAATAAACTATTATAAACAAAATTTAAATGTAAAATATAAAGTAAAAAAATTGGTTAGTTTGATTTTCTTCTGCAAAATATATTTCTTTTTTCTTTAGATTTTAAGATGAAAGATGACTTGTATATGTTTTTCTGGGATTTACCTGGTTTTCCATTTTGTAAAAATATAATAAAAATATATATTTTTAAATAATATATATATATATATATATTGGATGATGAAACATGACTTGTATGTATTTTTATTAGATCATTACATCTCAATATCTTTAAAGTTTTGGTTCAGTTCAATTTCTGAGAAAGATAATACATTTTACTCATTTAATTTAGCTGTTTTTTAATATAAACATGACACGTTTTCATACATTTTCAGATTTTCACAATAAAATCTAAACATTAAAAGATCAATTTATACCATTTCAAATTATAGTTAAAGTGCTTGTATGCATATATGGATTTCTATAGGAATTATTTTCATTAAAGTTTGTCATTTTTTATGTGAAGTGATTTTTATGTTCTATCATGTTTAGTGCATTTTACTCACCATGCTGCTTTGCAGGTGCACTATCAAGACTTGCTGCAGTTCATACAGAAAGCTGTACAAGAAGAAAAACAGCAAAGTGTTGAGGTCTGTCAATGAGCCTGGCAAAACTACCCAGAATATTATCATTTTATACTGTCAGCAGCTTTCTGAAATAAAAAAGCACAACATGATCATGATGTTTTTGAACATGATCCTCAGGCAGAGACCTGGGATGCGTCAGTGGCCAGTACTGACCTGGAATCAGTGAACGACAGGAGCGATGAGAATGCAGAACAAAGAGAAACATGGCTTCAGAGGTTCCACAAGATGGAGATGGCCTTACAAATGTGTGACACCCAAAACACAGGTATAAAACCCATCACACGAATACAGTTTGTCTGAAGCACATTTTAAAGTGATTTAAAACACTGTGACTCATAGAAAATGATAGACACTTGTATGATGAAATGATGTTTTCAACACTGGTTTTCAGGTTATGTGGACAGAGACCAAGCCAAACGCCTGCTACAGAACTACAACCTCATCCTTGATCTGAATCTGAGTCCTCTGAAGGTCAGCGAGGTCACGCGTAACACTCAGCGAGAGGGCAAAGTTCACCTCGCATCGGCTCTGCGGAAACTGAAGGAACTACACACCGCTTAACCTTTTCCTTAAACCGAAGCAAGTGCTACAGCATTGCAGTCATCTTTAATAAATGCTCTGCCTGGGAAATATTGACAATGACAAAAAAATGCTTTTAAATTACATTTTTTCGACATTGAAAACTGAGTGAATCTCATATAAACAGGTCATGTTTTGCCCGAAAAATCTAAACAAAAAAAAAAGAGATTCTATTTTGTAAAAAAAAGAAAAAGAAAATTAATCCTAAGTGACTCATATCCTAAATATATAAATAAAAGGTTCTAAGAAAATCGTAATTTTCTTTAAGCTAAATATTATTTCTTATTTACCTTTTGATTTTGGGGTGAAATGAAGCTGGAAATTTCTTGTCAGGTTTGTAGGATATCAGACCGAATCAGACGATCTATGATTTGGTTAAAACATGGTTGAAACCTGAGGAGCCCAAAATTCCACAAGAGGCCCAAGACAACAGGATGTCATAAATCAGACCCTAGCCAGTTTGAAACAAGCCTAACCAACTCTTTCACAGAACAGCTTTCAACATTAACACAAAAGGAACACACTGATCATAACAACTCAGGAAGGAGATGGTCAATTTTAGGGCAAGTAATTAAGATTAATGGTCAAAAGAGATGCACGGCGTGACCATCACATGGTAACCAGTGATAGCAATCACAAGCTCTTTGGATTTACTTCCCCCACCTAAGAGACAGAACAGACTGAGATTCCTTACAGACATTTTAACCTCTCTGGTCTTCACAGAACGTATCCTTACGTCCACAGAATGCTACAGAAACTACCTTTCCATGTATATATGCACCTAAATGACGCTAAAAGGACTTATGAGCAACTAATCATTTCTATGCATAACTCCATATCATGTATGTAACCCACATGTGACTTATCAGGTCTTAATCATTTATTGTGTATGTATTGAATCGCTGGCCGTCTCAGTGATCAGCCGTAAAACAGTGATTCTGTCCCTTACATATTATTGGTGGAGTTCCCTTTAAAATCTTAAATGATTCCCTTTGAGCTAAATTGACCTGTTTCCCTTACAGGTTTAATCACATTAACTTCCCCTCACTTTCTGCAGTTTAATTGGTCAATAATCAACTGCATTTTATCAAAATTTACTTTTGGTGCTCCAGTGTGTGCTAATAAGTATTTCTAGTCTATAGTTTCAATATTCAAGTAAGAAATTGGTGCAAAAACAGGAATACAAATTTTCTTTTGGAGCTCCAATGTGTGCTAATAGTCGTTTCTAGTCTATAATTTCAATATTCAAGCAATAATTTGGTGCAAAAACAGGAATAAATCAGTAAATACTGATTCTGTACATACATCAGATGTAATCTAAAGTATATTGCATTACTTCTACAATGTTTTAAGAATTAGATACTTACCCTGCGTCCCAGTGTGCATACTATCCACCCTATCTGCCATAAATAGTATTGAAAATTACTAATATCACATAGAATTTAGGATGGATAGTATGCACACTGGGACGCGTGTTACAGGAAATACTTCACATATGCAATACTGGAAACGAGCACAAGAGGGCGAAGTTTTACCTAACACATATTCTTACTCACGATTAAACCAAGATAATTAAATAAATTAATTATCTTTTTACCTCGAGGAATATGCACTGTCTTCCAGGATCCATGTTTCTTCATTGGACTTCAGGAGACCAAAACATATGTCACATCACCCATCAAGTGCTGGCAAATAGTAAACTGGGTTAGACTGAGGTTTGCAGACATCTGAAAAAAGGGAAGAGGTGTGTTTGTCTGACAGAGAACTTGGTATGTGGCATGTCTATTTATTACAAGCCCATTTCTTTAAATGCAGCTTACATGAAGATGGAAAAAGAAAAAATGAAGTCATACACCTCCACCCTTTATCTGACTTCTCGTTTAAGCATTATTTTTTAAAAAGTGACGTGACGTGACGTGACATGTGGCCAAGTATGGTGACCCATACTCGGAATTAGTGCTCTGCATTTATCCCATCCAAAGTGCACACACACAGCAGTGAACACACACACACACCGTGAACACACACCCGGAGCAGTGGGCAGCCATTTTTATGCTGCGGCGCCCGGGGAGCAGTTGGGGGTTCGGTGCCTTGCTCAAGGGCACCTCACCGTATTGAAGGTGGGAGAGAGCGCTGTACATTCACCCCCCCCACCTACAATCCCTGCCGGTACGAGACTCGAACCCGCAACCTTTGGGCACATGGGATCTCATCAATGTCTTAATCGGTTTTTCCTTGAGAGCATTGAAATCAAACAAAGACTAGCTGAGATGGACACTCTTCTCAGACGTTTCTCCTGAGAAAAAGACATCTCACGTGTCTCCTCTAGAGTTTCAAATAAGATCTGTCTCAAACTGTGCTCAGAATAGATACTTCCATGATCTGAGCTTTTCTTACTACAGTTTTTTTTCAACTGCTTACACACATTTTCAAAACTTCACACACAAATCCAAGAATTGCACACACAAAATACAAAATGCCTCACATCTCTTGCAAAATGAAGCACTGCATTCAAAATATCACA